GTTAAAAGGTATGGTGGATTTTGAAATAGATAAAATGTTAAACGAGAGAACTAAGAAAAATCTAATTATATTTAATTTTCCATTCAAAACCTCGGAGTATGTAGAAGAGTTTAAAAAATTTATAAGAGAAAACTTAGAACTTAAAAGTATAGAAATCGAAGGTCTTATTCAACTAGGAAATAGAAAAAACAATCGAGTAACTAAGGTTATGGCCGAATCAGTTAAAGATAGAAATTTAATACTTAGTAAATTTTGGAGCACAAGACCGAAAATGACGGACGAAAATAAAAAAATAATAATATCAACGGACTTATGTTATAGATCTAGGATTAGGAAAAAATTATTATTAAAAACGATCAAACTAGAGAAATCGAATGACAACAGGATAAAAATTAGAGATGACTATTTTTTAAAAAATAATATAATGTATACTTATGATTTGAATAATAGAGAAATAATTCAGTTAAATCATTTTTTAGAGACAAATATAATACAAGATCAATTAAAATAAACCAAAATTTAAAAACAACGCAGGAAGAAAGGAGAATGGCAAAAAATATGGAAAATAAATATAGAAAAACGAGTGCAGATAAGTGTTTAGTTATAGATAATGAATTGAATGAGAAAAAGGTAGAAATTCCAAAAAAAGAAAAAAATAATGTGATGATAAGTTTTTGGAATATTCAAGGATTAAGAGGAAAAATATTCAAAACCTCGATGAGAAAATTTCTGGAGTCAAACGAAATTATTNAAATAATGTGATGATAAGTTTTTGGAATATTCAAGGATTAAGAGGAAAAATATTCAAAACCTCGATGAGAAAATTTCTGGAGTCAAACGAAATTATTAGATTCGTAGAAACCTGGATTATAAAATTTAGTGAAATAGAAATAAAATATCTAGAAAAAGACAATAACGTAATAATTAGTAATGCTCAACGCAAAAATAAGTTTGGACGTGAATCATGTGGAATTCTGTTATTGATAAAGAAAGAATTAGGTGAAATATTTCTACAATATATAACAGATTATGCTATTGCTGTTATAATAAAATTAGATAATACAGTAGAACCTCCATTATCTGGATTTTCGATTATCCGGATTGTTCAAAATAAACAAAAGTTTTACGAATTTGCTGATTTGCACTNAACTTCGTTTTTTCTTTTTGTAAATAAGATTTATAATAAAATCTATTTCATTCAATTGGATACTTTAACTGCTTTTTGTGCGTTTTTCAACCATCCCAATATTAATTATGTAGAAGGTGGTAAACTAAATAAAGATCGCATTTTTATAAATTATGTCAAAATAGCACTACTTTTGCCCACTACTGTATGGCAACGATAGTAACAGTTTAGAATGGAAAATAGTTCAGTGCACTTCATATTTACTACTTTATATTGACTAGCGATAAGTATTCAAATAAAAGTTAACCACATGAGAACGGAATACGTAAAACTAAATTACTGGTACAGTATATCACCAATCAAATGAACGTTACAACTGCACAAATAAATGATTCAGTGTTTATTGCAATTGCGTGGTTCAAACAGGCACAGTATTCAATTCATAAAACTAGATAATTGAAAAAAATTTTAAAATTATGTACCAGCTATTAAAGGAACTTATTATGTAATGTATATGTTACCGCTAAAGCTCGAAAGTCGTTAATGTGTACATTACCTAGCTAATCTGCACATTAACTAGGGTGATCCGTTAAAGTTGTTAAAATTGTTCTATTTCTCAAATTACCTAGGACAAATTACCTTTTGGACCAGAGACGAAAAATAATAAAGTTATCATACTTTTTCTGGTGATCGCGGGATATAATTGTGTAGTTAATGTTACCTATGATGAGTAAAATGGCGGCTCGATTCCAGCAACAGAAGAAAGAAAACAGTGGTGACGCACGTTCTAACCTAACTTAACCTATTCTAATAAATTACCATAATTATTACAAACCAAATTATTAGAATAGGTTAGGCTAGGTTTGAACGTGCGTTCCCACTGTTTCCTTTCTTCTCTTTGCTGGAATCAGAGACGAGCCGCCATTTTACTCACCATAGGTAACATTATCCAATTGTGCTTACTTATTAGTGCAGTATAAAGAATGGTGACACTGAATTTCATAGCAATTGATTTTTGCGACAAGCACACGTATTTGTGGTACGTTTATTTGTGGCAAAGATCTTATTTTTACTTTACCGAGTGCCTAGTAGGTAATGTGCGGACTACCTAGATACTCTGCACATTATCTAGGTAATTTGAGAAATGGAAGATTTTTCAGAACTTTAAGGATCACCCTAGTTAATCTGCAGATTAGCGACTTTCGAGCTTTAGCGGTAACATATAAACTTTGTATATGAAATCTACACAGTTCCAAAGACAGATAAAAACGAAAACTCATAAAACCAAAATATAATCATAGATAGTAAACCTAGTTGCTGATAAATACAACGGAAACACAGTATTATAATACAAACAACAATTTTTACAGAACCACAAAGTATAAATGTACAAAAATAATGTAACGAATGACGTAGGGTTTAGTTAGAAGAAGCACTAGGAAGGCCTCCTTCAAGTGGCTAACATAATGTGAGAAACCGTGGGCCAAGGGTTATCCCTCTTCACCACTTACTCGGCAACAGTCTGCAAAGACCGCTCACGTTGTCGTTCCGGATGGCTGATTATCCAGTGGCTAGGGAGGTGAGGAAGTCGGCAGGCGTTTTTTCAATGACAGGAGACAGGTTTAACAAAATAGCAAAGCATTTATTTGAATAATTAAGCAAGACACGTGAGGCGATAATAATATTAAATGTAAATGCGGTTAATGAAGTAACTATACAAAGGCCGCTCTTAACCGTTCTAACGACTATTCTGAGAGAAAGATTTCACAAAGCTCTAAAATACAAATATCTCTATGAGGATATGACTAATATGCGTTCGTTGAATGGGCCGTTGGACTCGTAGTCGGCGCAGGAACTGTAGTTATGGCAACAAATACTGAAGTTCGAAGTTGTGGTCTGTAATATGGCAATGTCCTTTCGGTCGCTATGTCCAGTGTATGGAGACAAGATGCACACATTAAAAAGTTTAATTTTCTTTGGTCGCCCTGAGCTTCCGGGGAAGTCGAGCTTTTATACGTTCTTCGTGGGAAAAGAGTCACGTGATCTTCTGTTGACACTAACGGCGCATACCGATCAACCAAGTGTCAACTTTCCCACCTAATTGTGAAAACAAACGGTGACCTCCGATATATTCTCACCAAGAGCGGGTTTTTCCCATTGGAGTTGTTTATAAATGTTTTTCCGACAACTACGTAAAAATCGCGGATGTCAGAATAATATATGAACCAGATTAATATAGTAAGTTGTTTCGAAAGGCAAACTTACTTAAAAAATTGACCATATCAAAGTAGATTTGAATTTTCCTATCATTCCGTTCATCTACACACTTAGCTACAATAGATATTTCAACATACAAACAGAAACTCACTGCTAATTTATGACAAAGCCGTTATCAGAAGGAGCAAGTAGAAGATAACAACAAAAAATGTGATTACAAACCGCAAAAGTAATTCTAATAATATTTTGCTTTTTATTCTGTTGTTTCGTCTAATGATTATTTATAAATGGATAAGGAAAATGTGAGAATTCTTCGTGTTTTTAATGTAAAGTGTCAGAACCTATAACAGAAGGCTGACACCTGATCGTTTTTAACATTGTGAACTTTTTTTACTTATTGTTTACCTTTGTTTTAAGAAGTATATTTTTCAAAAAAAAAACCCATGTTAACTGTTACTTCTGGAGTGTATAAAAAGGATTAAGATAGACTCGAAAATTTGATATTTTTGTAAATAGTTTGACCTTCAATTATGAAAAGATTATTTATTTAATTTTCGTTTTTATTCAGATACGCAGTCAAAGATTATTACGGAAGAATAGGAGACGTTAACAAAAACAGGGGGAAAAAAGTGCTGTTTCGAAAAAGGATTATACACTCACGTTATAATTCAGAAAAGTTTTATAATGATATTGCACTTCTGATTCTCACACACAGTATTAATAATATATCTCCGATTGCTTTAGTTGGAAAAAACGTAAGATTTACTCAAGGTTCCGCCACGTTTGTTGGTTGGGGAAGAATTGGTTACAGTAAGTCTGTTATTTTTATGTAATATTCAAAGTCTTGTACAACAATAAAAATAATATGAATGACATTCTGTGTAATTTTGAAAAAGATGACAGAACAGACCTTCTTCATGTAGCGAAAGTGAACTTAGTAGATCCAATATACGTGGGTCGTAAATTCGACTACGAATTAACTTACAAAGAAATTACAACACTGTCATCTAGAGTAAAAGCCCTGGAAGTAAAGCAGTTATTACTTTTCACATTGTGGTTATACTTAATGTTACCTTGTTATTTATAAAAGTTTTATTGTTACAGGGAGATTCTGGCTCACCACTGATCAAGAGAGATGCGTCAAAAAAACCAGTGCTTATTGGCATTTTGGCTAACGGCGGACATAATATTAAACAACCAGATATATACATGTCAACCAGTTTTCACCATAATTTTATAAAAACTCACAGCGTCGGACGTCTCACATACCTACACGTACAAAATTAAAATATGAAAATATCATGGTAAATTTTTCATTTCAGAAAATATAAAATCTAATTGTATTCGCAAATAGCTCGTATTTCAACAATATTTAACAGTGGATGTACTGGTAACCCGCGTATAATACGGCACTTCTATAGCACGGATTCACTCTAACACGGTTCGAGAATGGTACAATCCCCCGTATAACACGGTACTTTTATAGCACGGATTCGCTCTAACACGGTTCGAGAATTGGTACCATCCCCCGTATAACACGGTACTTTTATAGCACGGATTCACTCTGACACTGTTCGAGAAATGGGTAAAACCCTCGTACAACATGAAATGTAATAAATTTTTACATACTTAAGTACTAATAGTTCACGAAAATAATAATTTTCGTGAACTATTAGTACTTCAGTGTGTAAATTTTCTTTTATCGTCTCCATACACATGGTCCTTCGCGAAAATTGTTTCAATTTTGCCAGATCTCGACGCTTCTGCTTCTG